AATAAGAATAGTGTACTTTACACAGAAGATGATTTACAAAACATAGAACAATTAAACTCAAGTGTTGATGAAATAGATTCATCATCATCAATAACAACATCTACTACTACTACTTGGGATATGAAAATTGAAGTTCGTTGTTGTACAACTTTACAAGCAGCTCGATCTTTAGTTGCTGAAGTGGGTGAAGAACGTGTTGGAGTATTAAATTTTGCTTCTGCTAAAAATCCAGGAGGAGGTTTTATTAATGGTGCTCAAGCACAAGAAGAATCAATCGCTAGATCATCATCACTTTATCTAGCACTTACACAAGCTCAATTTCTCCATGGATTTTATAATTATAATCGAAATGGTGAAAAAGGTTTCTACAGTCATCGAATGATTTATTCACCACGAGTAACAATTTTCAAAGTATGAGAAATTAAGCACACTAATTTATTTTATGTCTATATTATGTTTTTTTTGTTTTCATAGGATGACAATGGAGAATTATTATCTTCTCCATATCATGTTGGTATGCTAACAGTTCCTGCTCCAAATGCAGGAGCTATAAAAGATTCGAAAGCAACTCAAAATACAGTGATGGAACGTGTCAAACGTTTATTATATGTTTTCAAAGCAAATAAACATGATCATCTTGTTTTAGGAGCATTTGGTTGTGGTGTATTTCAAAATAATCCATTAGATGTTGCTATTATTTTTCGAGAACATCTCGAATCCGAAGAATATCGAAACTATTTTAAACGAATTATTTTTGCAGTTTTAAATGCCGAAATGTGTCAGATATTCGAGCAAGTATTTGCCGCTCCTGATTTAACTACTATACAACGACAAGTTACAACAACGTCTCCGAATGATCGTGACAATAAACACAATTCATTCAACAATCGGAATAAACAGAATAAAAAGAAGCGCTAAACAAAAACGAATTATAAAAAACTTTTTTGTTTATTTGTACAGCAATAGCTGATAAATTAAATATAAATAATAAACTTTTCTTATCATTAATATCTGACTTGACGGTAATTTTTATGGTTTGATCATTCGAATGTATCTGGCAGCATGTGATTCTTCTGTTTACTAGATTTTGATTTTGATCTAGGTATATATATAAAAGAAGAAACATTAAATATGGTTGACACTTGACTTGTTAGGAAAAAAGCTTCTCGCACTGGCAATTTTCTCGTAATTTCATCGATTGTATGTAATGATTCGGATACTTTGAATAATATTCGGTAATTGTACAATTGATTGATTTCGAATCAATTATGTCGACAGATTAATCAACTAAGATTGAAGTTTATTACTATTAGTTATACAAAGTGTTCGATTGGGAATAGTATAGGGTGTGAGGGTGAATAGACCCAACGTCCACGTCTATCCAGGATTATATTGTATGAAAGCGAAACAAAAATCTTTAATTATAATATTTTTTTTACTTTTAAATTAGATCTTGAAACAAACAAACAGTAATAAATTTCGAATAGAAATAAGTAATTTTATTCAAAAAAAGGAATGAATAGCATAAAGTGCATTCATAATACAATGAATTCTATTGGTAGAATTATTGTTGCCATATGTGTATTCTACTTGCAAGTACATGTTTGACCTTAAGGACACCAGGTGCTTGTATCATAGTTTGAAGTACTCGTACATTGTCCACTTGTTTTTTTATGATATTTCTGACAGAAACTGTTACAATCAGTCACTCTATATTTGAGTCGCATATAAGTTGACCAAATCCAGCGTTCCCCTTGATTGTCGCATCCATATCCAACATTCTCCTTCAACCATTTACATGCCGTTGCAACATTCTCATAGAATGTTTCACCTTTGGCACTGCCTGCAAGGTTGAGACAGATGAACAGACCAAGAAATAAACTAATGATCAAAATCTTTGTCGACATTGTTAAGTTCTTGCTTCAAGTAAAGAAAACAAGATATGAATGATGCTCGAAGGCTTTAAAAACGAGATTGATTTGATATGAATACAACTATAAAGTAATTCAGTGTATTTATATAGGCAGCTACTTCCTTTCATTTATTTTTAATATGTAAATGCATATCATTCTGAATAAATATTTGCACTACTCGAAATAAATCGTTCGATCTTTCACATGAATTATTTTATAACGAGCCTGAAAATATCAATTAAATGTCTGGCAATCCATGAAAAAGTAACTAAGTGTTATATTGGTTGTATACTGCCATATCGTATGCAGAAAATATCAAAGATTTCTCAAGTATGTGAAACAAATGAAAAAGAGAGAATAAGAAGTGAAGAAAAATATAACCAAAATTATTTTCGTGCCAGTTTGCATTTATTTATTGCGATATGCCATCTTGAGGGTGTGGATAAATGATAAATATAACATTCACACACTCACCCTTAAGATCTTTATCGAAGATATGCAGTATATAAATACTGGAAGTATTTTAAGCTTATCGAAATTTCCACATAAATTAAGCTTAAAGTACACAATCAAATAGAGAAATGAATGCTTTATTCAGTGATGTAAAAAATGAAATATAAAAAATTTAAATTGTCATCAACTGACATCATCTATACTTAAAAGCATGCGAAATTAATTAACCATCTTACGTTTGAAAAAAAAACAAAATTTTATTAGAATAGTCACTCATAAATAAAACTCATTTTAGAGATAATAGTATACAGAATAACGTATTTTGTCTATGTGATAAATTATTACTCAAAACTGTTTGTTGGTAAAGCAAAGAGTAATGAGACCGAATAGAAGAATAAACATCGATACGGTTCGATCTTGACTCACAGCATGCGAGCAATAAGCATTGTTGGTGTAGATACCACAGCTGGATGGATACACTAGGGTACACGATGATTGACACGAACTCGATGCACATGGACTCGTAAAAGTAGTTCCTACTAAAACTGCGCTCAAAGTGCTCGATTGAGAGCAGCGACAGTTACATGTTCCACCGTTCGACGATGATGACGCATAATAAGCACAAGAACTACCACAGCAGCCTACTGAATTAGACACATGACAGTTAACATAAGTAGAATAGCATGTACTAGCACAGTCTGATGAACTCGAACAGGTTGCTGCTGGATAGTATGTAGATGATCCACAGCGACACTTACACGTGGCACCATCCATTGGTATTATCATCATCGTACAGAGTAATACAGATATCCAGATGTATTGCATTTTATTCAGCAACTAATATTTTTCTTTTTATTCTAAATGAGTCGTACATTCGTTTAAATATATTCTATAAGATGAATAATGTTTTTTACGAACAAAGAATAGAAAAAAAAACACAAACAAATTCTCTCTGACGAGAACAATACTGCTGTAGTCAATTACGTCATCAGTTTTCGAATCCATATAGATGGTACAAAATTACAAAAGAAAAGAACAGTATTTATTTTCATTGAGTAATATTCATAACGACATTAGAAGACTATCAAATATAATCTTGAACATCTATAGATTTTTTCTGTCGAAACTGACTTTCATATTATTTTAGAAGAAAACAATTTGCGTAGTCTTCTTCTAACAATGAAAGAGTTTCGATCAATTATTTACTGGTAAAACCGAGCATTATGTGTTATTTACATTTTTCTTCTAGTTACGAACATTCGAAAAGAATAAAGAAACTGATGTTTTTGTAACGATGCAAAAGAAAAGAAAGAATTTAAATTTATCGACAATAACAATAGAGATGATCGTCAATGTCAGTACCGAAAAATTGCGTGCGTCAGAACCGAATGGAAAAAAAACTTTCAGGACATCCATGAAGCCTGCACTCAACGAAGAAATAATTGCGATGTATAAGACAAAGTTGTGTTTCGTGCACCTTGGACTTTACTATTCGAGCTAAAGAGTACACTGTATATTACCGTCAAGAATATTGATTTGTTGAAAAAATTACTCAAAAATATATGTGAGTGTGGGTATGAATAAGCTACATGTACCTTCAATGCTACAATATCCATTTGTATGACTACTGAGTCAAAAGTAAAAGGAACTTTGTGTCTTTTCAAAAGAAAAATAATTGTTATTGTGCGAGGAAAGATAACTTTTGAAAGGATTTAAATGTACGTGTGAGTTCGATTAAACAATCCTACACATAGTGAATAAAATAGCTCATTCTATGTACGACATTTGCCAAAAAAAAACATATCATTCTTATGTATGTGATCGGAGAGGAATAAAACATGAATTATATAAACAGATAATAGCAAGATATGTCTATTCTGATGAATGTGAACATCTCATTTATTCATTGTGTATTGATTGAAAAAATATGATCGAGTATCGATTTGCTCCTGGATGTGCGAAAGATTCGCATCCTAATGCTTACGGCTCATGAGGAAGAAAGTACGTTCTGTTTTGTATCCCGAAGCGCGGCTCGATCGATTTCTACAAATAATATATTTTCATCCTATGCTGTTTCGTCATACAGATTGTGCAACTACGTTTTTGAAGAATGAGAAAAAAGAATGAGTAACTGTTTTTTCGTAGAGCGCAACCGTATCTATTCTGTTCTTCCTTTTCACTTGTACACCAGATTATTATTGATTATTATGACTGAATAGATTTTAATTTAAACTAATCGTTTCCGGTTAATTCAATATACAACTAACCCTTGTAACGATCTAGTTTTGCATTAATGAAGTTGATATTGATGATAAAATATTAAATAAAATTTATATTCTGCTAATCGTCAAACTTTATTTATTGAAGAATTTTGAAATTATGATCTAATTTAAGAAACTAAATGAGATGGATGTGTTCATGCACATCGTCACTCATATTCTTCTCCGTTTATATTATGTTTAAATTAAAATAAATCATATTTATTATTGTTTTAAGTTGTGTCAAAAAAAAACTTATAAATATATGACTAAGTAAATAATTTGATCACGGACAAAGGTAATCTATTGATACTATATTCGTGTGTGTATATTAAAGGTTTCTATGTTGTACAGGTATTACACGTTAAAAGAGATGTGAGAAAACAAAATTCAATAATTAATTGATGTCGAATATTGCAAGTTTTCAGTACAATACACTATTACAGTATACTGTGAGGGTGTGGGTGTACACTCTCACTCAAGCGACACGCACACTCGCACCTTCCGGCCAGTCACAGGTCTGTCTAAGAGTCTTTCTAAACCGGCAAGTTCATATAACTTTTACAGCTGATAAAATTGATATTCTATCTTAAATTATTTTGTGAGTATATGCAGTTTTACATTTATCATTTCAAGAATGCTATTGTACGATTCTGGATGTCAGAGGGTCCGCTAGAAAGCTAAATATAAAATTTGTATTACACGAGCATTGACTAATAGATCATTTTAGTTAAAAGAAAAGGAAAAACCAAAAAAATGTGTGAATGTATATTTCAAAAAAAGTTGTAATTCTTTTTCTAATGAAATAATCAACGCAGTTGATTAATTTCTAATCAATCGTGCATTAACTCACATGTGGATTTTTCTAAAACTGGTAAAATCGGCGAGAATCAGCCGGTTCAGCTTTATTCACGGAACCGATTACTCCTCTGCCACACCCACACCCACACCCACAGCCATGCTCTCAATAGAAGCCAGTGTTCTCCGAAATGAGCTTCGTGTGTTGCATACATTTTAATAGAGTGACAAAAATTTATATGCGTCATTTGAATTTTCGCAAAGAGAAGAGAAAAAACCCACTTTTTATTGTATTTTTCGAAGAATATTACTGATGTTATTATTATGAATTTCATAGAGAAAAATCGTCCTTCATTCTGATGAATGATTTTTTTTATATTTTCACTGTTAAGTGAGCATGCAGCTTGAGTAATAATTATACAATTTTCATAGAACACATCGCAATTTTGAAGCAAGCGCATATAGAACAGAAAAACGTTAAGTGGCAAAGAAATGTTTTTGCTTATTCTGTTATGGGTTTTTTTCCACAAAAAAATGATTTCTATTGTGTAAAATAATAATTTTTTACAGTGGGCGCGACAAAACACCTCCGCGATCCTTCAAATTTTATATTTTTGCAACCTGAATGTAATATATATATATTTAAACATCTGACAGATGATGAAAGAGTATTCGAAAATATTATAATTTTAGTATTCACGCAACACATTTAAGTTTAAATCACGAAAAGTATGTACAGTATAAAATTTTAAATTCATATTCACATCCATCTCTTTTTTTGAGGTCCTAAGAAGGAAGATAGATTAATAAAGTATCCTACATTCAAAATAAAAATATATCTTATCAAATCTCTCGTTTATCTTTGATAGAAAAATATGACTTTGATTATTTCAAATGAGCATTAATAGTTCTTTCAGTTTCTTGTTAATGAATAAAAACAGAAAAGTTTCTCAGTTATCCGAAAGAATCAGTCCGCTCTTGGTGAGAGTTCGATGAAGATACACAATTTTTGTGTTTTTAGGAGATTTCTGGAACATCTTTTATTTGATAATGGAACCGACTTTTCTAAATTATGCAGCGATTTCTTATGCAGTCCCGTTTGGCATGGGTGTAATAATATTTATATTTATGTCGTCCATAAATAGACGAGCTAATACGTTGATTATCGACAGCATTATAGGCGTTAAAGCGAAGGATAAAGATGATCATGGTGAAAACAAAAGTACGCAAACCATGGAGCCGTATGACAAGAACTACGATACTGAATCGAGCAGACATAATATAAGTGCGGCTCTGCAGACAACGTGGCTAACGAAGATAAGTCCGGTAACCACGGAGTCGTATGGCAAGAACTACGATACTGAATCGAGCAAACATAAGAGAAATGAGGCTCAGCAGCCAACGCGGCAAACAAAGATAAGTACGGCAACCACGGAGTCGTATGGGAAGAGCTTCGATATTGAATCGGGCAAACATAATATAAGTGAGGCTCTGCAGAAAACGTGGCTTACGAAGATAAGTACGGCAAACACGGAGTCGTATGGCAAGAACGACGATATCGAATCGGGAAAACAACAGACAAACAAGGCTCAGCAGAAAGAGCCGCTATCCAATGATCAGGATCTATACCAATATGTTGACAAATTTTTATACATCGAGAAAAAAGACGAAAACACAAGCAAGCCCCTACCTTGGATTCTACGTTTTTTTTGTGATTTTTTTAGCAGTGCTATTGTTGCACTTCTTTTCGAGATCATATTTGTGAAGTGTATACTGTCATATGTAGTACTTACTATCGGTGATCCATGTCCCGATTACAATGCCGACTGCTTTGGTCCAGCCAATGGAAGCGTTCCTAATGGTCCTTATAAATGTGCAAAAAATCAAAATGCATCTTTTCCATTCAGTCCATCAGCACATGTGGCTTGCTATGGATGGCGATACAATGATGTAGATGCTGGCGATGTGATTGATGCCATTGGTGTAAGTGGTGGATTACTTGGTATTGTCGCTTATATCATACCCTTAGTTTATCGTTTAACACATTATCGGAATAGATACTGGTGGATAAGTTTCTTCTGGGGTATAATACCGTTAAGTGTGATTGGCGTATTTATTTTTGTCAATTTTCAGGTACGTCCGGAGGTACCTACACTGCTAACAATTATTTCTTTTGTATTACTCCTAATAATGACATGTGGTGGTTGGATATGGGCTGTTTATACATCGTTTGCAGAGAGCAGCGGAGCAAATCGCAATCGCTTGAAAAACTGTTGTACTAAATTGGTTGGCTTAAAATGCTGTCAATACATGCTTGGCTGGTGTATAGAGCCATATGAACACTATCCATGGTGCTGTATAGATTGCTACAGAAGCGGCTCATGTACCAAAAAACCATTGACCAAGGAACAACAATGTTGAACTTATAATAATCTCGTGCTCAATTTTATTGACAAAACTCTCTCTACTTCCATTTTCTATCCATTTTGATCGACTTTCAACATTGTATTCTTTCTACACTTGAAAATAAATACTATGAGTGAATGCGAAAAATTTTTTGTTCTGTAGCATTTTTAATATTGATCATCAAGTCGCAAGTATTAGCGTGGAGGATTCATGGCTCAATACATGGTCCTAGAATCTACTAAAAAGAGCGAGGTGACGATGTGCTCGTACGTGAGTGTGGGTGTGCGTGCCGATGTAGATGACTAATGAACCCCCACAACTATAATATAGAAGAGAAAATAATAAAAATGAAAATATAACAATCATTCTTAGGTCAAACAATTATCTTTTGATAGATTCGTTTTAGACTGCATATGTATGACTACGTATTAGTAATGTATATTAACAAAAAAAAACCTCATTAGTATACAGTCTAGCAAAAACTTATTTTTCTCTCGGCTTATATTCATATGAAGTAAATCATAGAATAAATACCAACTATTCTCAGTAACGGATGATACAGAAACATTGAAAAATGAATTTCTTATCCTTCTTTTCTTTTCTAAAGATGTTAAACTCATTTTTAAGTTTTTTTTTTATGAAAGTATTTTATTTCTGTAGCATACTCTTTCATAATAAGTATGAATAAAAACAAGCAATTGAAAAAAAAACAACAGAATAGAAGAATAATCAGAGAATAATCCGATTGTTGAGTATAGTTTCACATAGGTAGTAATCAGAAATCGACAAATTTACCATTAGCTTAGAACTGACGAAGTTTTGGGTGTGGGTGTATACAAAACCTATACTTTTGCGCATTCGCACATTCCTTCAACTTGCATCTTAATTCTACATCGTATAGCATAAATAAACAATTCACATCTTCAATTACATTATCTTCTCAAAAGATAATTTTTTAGATAATAAAAACGTGTCTTCTTCATCGAGTATTTGAAGAAAATTATATTAATATTGTAAATAGGTCAATCTCATTATGACCTGCATATACACTCTGGCTGACTGCCCCTCTGCTGAATATAATGCGGTATTTATTTCGTTAGAGCGAACTCATTATTATGGAGTTTTTCTTTTTCCCTCTGTCCCTCTCTATAGATATATTTACAAATAAATAGTTGAAACCATCCTCTATTGATTTATTAATAATAAGCTGTTATAATTAAATCGAGATCATAAATAACTTTTGTCATAAATATATTTTATTCTATCAAACTAATCAAGAACTTAATTAAACAGAATTCAAAATGATTGCTAATTTCACAGTTGCTTTTACCAGAAAATAGAATGCATGTAAATCTGTGGCAAAAGATATCTCCCATTTATTTGATAGTGTATGGATTATCGAGTTCTATTGCGAACTATATATATTGAATATATGTAATAGACACTCACCTGCATCATTAGTTCATTTTAATATAGCCAAGAAAAGATTGCTCAAATTTATCGGGAGCTGTTAAAAACTGAACGCATACATAGCATCATCGTTAGAAACCGAATTATGCCTAAACCAAGGCTATCGTATTTATACAGTGGACGGTCATTATCGAGCCAGTTCCTATTGAGTACTCGATTACCGTACAGTCTTCATAAATCTCACTGTCATGAACCTGTACAATAGAACAATTATGCAAAATGAATACGATGCTCAAGATGTTTATCAAACGGAGAACTTGTTTGCTGTTAGTCACAGATAGCTCGCAATGTAATTATGTATGTCGACGAGGATTGATTTATAATTTTAGAACGATTCATAACAATGATCTATATGGATGTTATTCATATTCATTCATGAGCTGATGCTTTCTAAACAATATCTACATTGATGTCAAAATCGAATAAATTGATGGTATAATTAGGTGAGATTTACATCTTAAACCTACCTCTACAAGAATTTTGAGAATTGAAACGAATTTCAAATCTTTTCCTCATTTACTCAAGCAAAGGCTATGCAGTCAATATTATTGTGCTGATTTTATGAAAAAAAAACAGTGGTAAGCAACGTTCTTGGTAATTAATACTCAATTGTATGGTATAACTATTTTGATACAGAACAAGTACAACACTAAAAGTTCACTTTTTGATAGGTATATGAAGTCTAAAGTTAGTAACGAAGAAATTTTTGCACGCGATCGTTAAGTAAATCCGCTACATATAAGTTCAATTCGTTATCGAGAGCCAACCCAGCGGGTCCATTGAATAAAATGGATGTGTTACCTGGTGTACTTACCACACCAGCAATTGTAGTGCCGTTCAATTGACCAGCTAAGAAGAACTGTATCCGATTGTTGCCAAGATCAGCCACATACATATTACCCGTCGAATCAAGTACTACATCTGCTGGATTCAGTAATTTTATTGATGAACCACCACTTACGTTGGTAACGCCTGCCATCAGTGTCCAACTGCTAGAACCCAATACCCAACGAACAATATTCTGACCAACACCATTAGAAATGACTATACTATTGGTTAATGAATCAAAATGCAATCCTCTAGGATCCATTAGTTGTGTACTGCTTATTCCCTGTCCATTGCCTCCAGCTACCACCGTACCAAACGTAGCGCCCGGTAAATATTGCATGATTCGATAATTTGTACTGTCTGATATGAAGAGCGTGTTCGTGTTTGGATCAAGCGTCACGGCTCGAGGATAGCATAGGAGATTCATAGCGGAACCACATGTACCTACGAATGCAAATATACATAGTCTGATTAGATACTAAATAATTCAATCCAGAACAACAATATAATTTAGCAGAGATGGATAGCTCAGCGATTTTTTCACTCACCTTAAGTTAAAGTTCAACACTCTTCTCATAAAATCTTGTATTATTTTTGAAAGCTCAGAATAACATACTTTTATTCTGTTTCAGAGAAAAAATACTAACGTCACAAAATCTAGATTATTTTTAATAGCAAATTATGTTAAAAGGGCAGTCCTAAACATATGAGATCGAGTGTTCAACAATGGTTTACAACAAATGTATTGGAACTAAATTGGTTTAACTGCATAAAAAAAATCAATGTATTAGAAAGAATCGATATCTATTCACAAAAGAAGAATATCTATTTTGTTTCAAGCGATCATTCTAGCGAAATAGTTGCTCTTAATTACATTTTGTTGTTATATTATTGAAGTGCATAAAAATTTTATATATTTTTGTACTTTACGAATTATTTTAAGAACAAGTCACAGATGAAATCCAAAATGGCTTGACTTGCATACCTCTATAACTTAGATGTATCAACGACTTCCTTTCACAACCTACGATTTATATTTACGCGATTTTCATCTAAAAAAGGAAAATGCTTTTCGTCCTTCTTTTCAGCTGATCAGTTAACTTTGACGAAGTCTAGTAACATATACTATCAGATAATATGTAGAAAATGTTTGAGAAAAAGCGTTCTTCCAGTCTTCTCTTGCTATGAGCTAATTTAACACTTACTCAATAATCTAATTAGACTTTGCTGAAGTTCGGATGTCTTTTTTGTATCTTTCTTCTATACTGACTGTTTATCAATTCTTAGAATTCAATGATCGTCATTTGATCAGGTTTCCATTTTTGATACAAAACAATTAAGAAAAGCAAAAATATTAGGCTAGCTGTCTACAAGAAAGGAGAAACTTAGACGAGCACAGTTGTATTAATAGATCCTACCATTGCCTGCGATTATTGTGCCGATAGTTGATCCGTTACTCCAACGAACAATCCGATGATTATTATAATCTGCTATATAAATACTGCCGTTAGAATCAACAGCAAGACCAGTAGGTTTATTCAAATAAGCTAATCCAGAACCGGAACTGCCATTTGATTGTCCTGCGACTGTCGTTCCATTTACAGCACCCGGCAACCATTTTTGAACTCGATGGCTATCACGTGCGCTAATGTAGATTGCATTGAATGAATCCAGTGTGACAGCTGTTGGACTATTAAGTTGAGTGGGTGTTGCACCTGCTCTGCCTGTAATACCGGCTATCGTGATACCTGTAGAGTTCCACCTATGGGAGATTTTATCAGCTACAAAGAAGAGCAGATAATATCCTTTCATAATCAAGATAAACTACATTATTTTTGGATGAATAAGTATATTCATGACAATTTCCTTGTAATACAGTTCTTATAAGACATCGTAGCATAAAAAAGAATTTCTTTGATAAAGTCACTCTGACGAGGGAACCACCCGAGGTGTCAAAAAGCTTTTGAGTTGAAATTCCGCCCATATGTAGAGGACATATAGACTAGAAAAAGCCTAAGATGATATGTGCGCAAGTTGCGATTTAGCTGAGATATCGACTTTTTACTAGAATTTTCCTATGAGATCCCATTTCCACCATAAACTTAAAGTTTCGTGTTTTGATCTGAAACTTGGCCCCTATCAAGGCCTTAGTTAGAGTAACTCATCCACAAAGTTTCACAATTTTTAGACAAAGCATTCTCGAGATATGAGTCTGTTAGCATTAACACAGTTTTTTACGGATGTTGTTGTACGTATGGATATTTTAAAAACATTATATCTCGGGAATGCTTTGTCTAAAAATTGTGAAACTTTGTGGATGAGTTACTCTAACTAAGGCCTTGATATGGGCCAAGTTTCAGATCAAAACACGAAACTTTAAGTTTATGGTGGAAATGGGATCTCATAGGAAAATTCTAGTAAAAAGTCGATATCTCAGCTAAATCGCAACTTGCGCACATATCATCTTAGGCTTTTTCTAGTCTATATGTCCTCTACATATGGGCGGAATTTCAACTCAAAAGCTTTTTGACACCTCGGGTGGTTCCCTCGTGAGTCGATTTATCTATCGATTGTGAGGTTCAATATTTATACTAAAGAACAGCCATAGTGTTTGCTCTACTCATAATCAACAATTAAAATAATCCTATTTTATACTATCATTAATGAATCAAAAGCTCGAGAGAAACAAGAGTAGTTAAATAAATCAGATTCACAAGATGAAAAACGTATATGACAGCTTTACCACAAAAATAATCTTATTATTGATAGTAGTATCTGTTGACATTCAAAGCCTTGTGTGATTATGACTCTCATCGTATAAATGCTTTCATCTTACATCAAAATATGTCTTCTGAATTCTTTTTTTCGAAAGAAATATATTAACAGAGAAACATGCTAAATGATATATCACAAACTTTTGTAACGTATTGCAACCTCTGTTAGTCTAGTAAGCGATTTACTCTGGAAGAATTTTAGAAAAAAAAATTTGTTGTTCATCTTCAATTCAAAACATCTCATTCGGTTTTCTAAAAATTTGTAAGCTATTAGTTTATTAAATCTATAAGGACTTACCAACACACATTTGTGTATACCAAACTTGACTTGCTGGACATTGGCATATATTGAAAGTATTACAGCTTAGATATCGATTAACTTGACAGTTGTTTGATGCGCATGGTTGACCATATGATGAATAGAGAGAAGGTATATACCGAACAGTACCTACACGAGATGTGCTGGAGTTTGATGCCGCTATTGAACCATCAGAAAAGATGCGACAAATCTTTGTCCAGGTATCGTAATTAAAATAATGACAAAGTGGTTGCCGATTGCAATTCGAAGCACAATGAACAATATTGAGTACATTATTGAAGGTTGCTAATCGATCAGTAGATAAATTTGATTGACACTCAAAACCAAAAGTGGTTATATTCATTGTGGACTTATAGACTTGCGTGTGTACAGTAATAAACCCTCAAAATATGTAATATATTATGATAGTTCTGTAAATGATGACAAATGGAGATATAACC